TATCATGATTCCAATTCTACATTACAAATCCAGCTGGACAGGAGGATGTACACTGGCACAGATAGGAACTGGAAATACAGGGAATCCAAGACAGATGAACCCCTCAGGACCAGTGGTGAGAGTGATGATACTAGGAGGGTAGAGGGAAGGTGAGGGAGAAGGGGGAACAGATTACAAGGATCTACATATAACCTCCTCCCTGTGGACAGACAGCAGAGAAGTGGATGAAGGGAGATGTCGGATGGTTTAAGATATGACAAAATAATAACTTCTAAATTGTCAAGGGTTCATGGGGGAGGGGGGTGGGGAAATGAGGAGCAAATACCAGGGACTCAAGTAGAAAGCAAATGTTTTGAGAATGAGAGAAACAAATGTACAAAAGTGCTTGACACAATGAATGTATGTGTGGATTGTGATAAGAGCTGTATGAGACCCCAATAAAATGATTTAATTTAAAAAAAAGTTGGGTAGCTCAACAAGGCCTCAGAAACCACTGTGATGTCATGCTGATGGCTTCCCTCAGCCAGATGATATGTCTATGTCCTTTTTGTCTCTTTTAGGACATAATAAATGTTCTCCTTAAATTATATTTGAGATAGGGTTCCTTTTATAACCTAAAACCACAGGAAATTTACAGAAAAGCTTCTAATACCCGCTGTCAGGGACAAAACTGGGGCTTCTGCCCTGCCTAAGGCAATGAGCAAATGGCCCTGAGAAAACAATCTATGAACAAAGGATCCTGTGGAAACAGGCTTGGTAAACACCTTAACCTTGAAGCCAGATCCTGGTGAATATCCTGGAGATAAATCTGAAAACACACTGACGTGGAACCAAGCTGGAGCTGAGATAAAATTGAAAGAAACTATGCTGGAGACCTAAGGACAGATTGAGTTGCTTGACCACCTGCACAGCAGCAACCCCTTCCCCTCTGAAAAAAACCAAACTCCTTGCTATAGAGTTGATGCCAACCCATTAGCAATCCTGTACAACAGGGTAGAGCTGCCCCTGTGAGTTTCCAAGACTATAATTATTTATGGGTGTAGAGAGCCCTGTCTTTCTCCCACAGAACATTGGTAGTTTTGGACTGCTGACCTTGCTTAACCACTATGACACCAGGACTCCTTTTCCCCTTTGAACGTGCCATTTAAAAACTAGAAGTCTCCCCTAGACAATGTCCCTTCTCAACTCTGAGCGCGAAACATATCCATGTATGCTTACGGTGTCCTCACCTTACAAGAAGGAGTCACCTCATTTCTTTTGAAGTGATCCTATGAGTTAATAAGACTGTGGCTGAACTCTTCGCTGGGGTGTGTGTTATCTCTAGACCCTAACAAACCACACAGATCTGGAACTTGCTAATTCCCCTATGGATGACAACACAGAACTGACTGAACTTCACACCTGCCTTACATTAGCTAACCCTCTGCTACCTCTCTGGTTTTATAATTGCCTTGTTTTTTTCCCTCTATCTCCTTCCACCAGAACGTAAAAAAGAGACTCCAAATCTCAACGTATAATTTAAGAACATTATTAGATCTTGAACAGGACAAAGACAAGACAGAGACATATCCTCTGGACAAGGGATACCATCAACACAGGTCATAATGGTGGCCCAGGACTCACAGCCACACAGTCACTTAAACAGAACATGGAGAATAAAGGAAAACATCACAAAATCAGGATTGGTGGTAGATCAATATATCAGAGTTACAGATGAGACTACAGAAGTGGGAACTACCACACATACATTGTGAGAGAAGAGCTTACAAGATTGGTCTAGGACCTTCAGACCAAGGCAGTCAGGATATGACGTACACGGCATGATTTATAACTATGTGACCCCAGGAAGTGATCTTCCTTAAGGGTACACTCAGACAAGCACTTATCGGACTGCACCTGCCCAGGCCTGGTTGGAGGAAGTGGAAGTAATCCACTTTCCAAGGCTCTTTGCCCAAGGGGCAATGCTGTTCATATCCTTGGTTAAATGGTTGAAAACAATTCCATGGAGGCTTTAAAATCCACTCAAGGACTCTACAAATGGATTTTGGACTTTCACTGTCACCCATAGATTTTTCCAAACAGGGTGCTCGGATTTTTCACTCTAATGCAATTGCATAAATTCAAGGTTTCCCCCACCAGGCCACCTCTGTTGCTTACTGCTTTATCTTCTGTATGTTTTTTTGTCATGAGCAGGAACTTCTGATGTGAAAGGAATGAGGTAGACCTGGAGGGCTTAGCCAGCCTTAGCCAATCAAGATTAGTGTTGTTATTGTTAGGTGCCATGAGTCAGCTCTGACCCATAATGTCCCTCACAACAGAACAAAGCACTGTCCAGTATTGTACCATCCTCACAATTGTTCCTGTGTTTGAGCCTATTGCTACAGTCACTGTGTCGATCCATCTTGCTGAGGGTCTTCCTCTCTCTCACTGCCCCTCTATTTTACCAAGCATGATGTTCTTCTCCAGGGACTGGTCTCTTCTGACAATATGTACAAAGTACATGAGAGAGGTCTCCCCAGCCTTGTTTCTAAGAGGCATTCGTGTTGTGCTTCTTCCAAGATAGATTTGTTGCTGCTTTGGCAGTCCATAGTACGTACAATATTCTTCACCAGCACCACACTTCAAATACATCAATGCTTCTTTGGTCATTCTTATTTAATGCCAACTTTCACATGTATGTGAGGCAACTGAAAATACCATGATTTGGGAAAAACACACTTTAGTCCTCAAAGTAACTTCCCTGCTTTCCAACACTCTAAAGTCTGTGTGAGCAGTTTAACCCTTGTGCAATGCAATGCATCAGTACTGTCTTGATTGCTGGTTCTGCTAGGTTTCTCTGGTGGGAAATACCTTGGTTCTCGGCTTCGCATAAGAAAGAATTAATCCCGAAGCCTGGTTTGTGATCCAAGTGGGTTTTTATAAAGGACAGAAGTTTCCGGTTTTATAGTCACTGAACACAGGCAACCTCTTGGGACGGCACACCCACTTGTGGTGGCCTGAGGCCAGGGTGAGAGAACAGCTGCACAGCCAAGTAGAAAGCAGAGAAGCATCTGAAGGGCCGAGAGGTCTCGAGGTTCAGGTATATGGAGCCTTCCGCTGGGAGGCATGATCAAAGGTATTGATTGAACCTATTGGCTGAATTAAGCCCACCTGGCCTAATTTGGGCCAACCCAGGTATACCGCCCACCTGGCTTGGGGGCCTGAATTTGGAGCATGCCCCTTAGACATCCCTGCTTTTTGCTACCTAACCGTGCCATGAGCATTGATTAGGATACACATGTTAGGGCTCTGGGATGATTTTCCCTGGTTCTTGTTTCTCAACACTGAAAAGAATTCATGTGTCAGAAGCACTTCTGCAAATACAAGTAGCTTTTACTAGGGAAAGGGAAGTTTGGGGTCATATAGTGTCAGATAGTACATGCTACCTCTCGAAAGCATATAAGGTCTCTCCGGATGGGCACTGCACAGGAGTTCGAAACCAAATATGGCTGCTCAGGGCAGTGTGGAAAGCCACATGGAAAAATGGCCAGAAAGAGGAGGCCACAGAACCTAAAGAGAGAAGAGAGGAGAGAGGAGAGAGAGAAAACACCAGAACCGATAAGGTGAAGAGGGCACACTGCACCCAAGGGAGAGACCTGCCCTCCAAAAAGAGAGAGAACTTGCCTTCAGTCTCTTGCTTCTTACTGCCACTTGAGGGGGGCATCGTTGAGGATGTTGACTGTTCTTAGTGGCTGGGTTCAGGCGCATGTGTGATGCATTGTTGCTGGTTTCTAGTATGGATTCCTAGGTGAATTTGCTCTGCGCATGCTCACCTTTGGATCTTCCCCGTAGGTTTCTAATGTGTGCCTCATTTCTTTCAAACTCCTTTATTGTTGTGTAGCCAGCTACTATTGGTTTAGCATAGGCATTAGTGGCGACAACCTCTTTTGTCCCTAATCTTCCTGCCTGTCACAAGCAAGACAAAATCCTTAATAATTTCAATCTTTTCTCCATTTATCATGATGTTAACATGACCTATTATGGACCTAAAAGTCTAATTGTGAGGATTTGGGGTTTTTTTTCTACATTAAGTTTTAATACATACTGAAGGCTGTAATCCCTAATCTTCATCGGCAAATGCTTCATATCCTCCTTTCTTGCTTGCTGAAAGCCAACCAAGATGGAAACCTTTAACCCAGGAAGGGAAAGCAGATCCATCACTCTCGCCTCTATTCCCCAGGAAGAGAAAGCAGATCCATCACTCGCGCCTCTATTGGTCGAGCCTGGAGGGAACCACTACCGGGTTCGACTGGGAATGCCTGGGAGCTCAGGCGCCCGGCAACAGGTAAGTCCTGTCCTGGGAAGTGTAGCGTCGGCGAGTGGCCGGACGGCAGCGAGGGTCAAGGGCAAACGCTGTGGTCTGAGCAGGCGCGGCCTCCGGGCGACTGGCCCGCTGGGGCTGTGTGTGGTCGCCGCAGTGCGCTCCCTGCCTAACAGAGGCCCCCAAGCCGGAGCCGGCCGGTCAAGTGCAGTACGTACGTGGGGCCTCCGCTGTAGCGCTGGTCCGGTTGGGGGCTGTCTAGAGAGCCCCAAATGCCCCCGTTAGGGGCGTCTCTTTTCTTCTGGCTCTGAAGAAACAATGACCGTCAGAATGGCGCGGGAAAACTCAGAGTCGTTTTAGGAAAGGATATGGAATACACAATATTTACCTTTTTAGGAACAATTTTGGACCCCCCAGGAAATCCTGAAACTTAACCTTGACATGTCCATCTGTCATTTTATGGCGAGTGATAAACTAAGGTTGCACGTGGGGCGGGAAGTAGAGCCACGGCATCCATCCCCACGCGCACAGTAGTTTCTTCATTGCAGAAGTTCTGCCGTATCATGAGTTACAGAGCTTGCAGCTTTCTATGGTTGAATTGACAAAAATGTTTTTGTATTTACATGTGTTTTGTATTATAGGAAGAAAAAATAGTCTGAGTAACAAAGTCACATAGAATTCTTTTTATTTTTCAGATGAAGAAAGTAAAAGTAAACCATTGCAGTACCTATCCTGTTTATATTTAGCGTTTTCCTAATGCGCATGATGTCAGACGGGAAATCTGCTACAAAAACACCTCGTAAAAGTTTATCCGTCAAGAACACTAAAGGATCTAATTCTGTTTCTTCATATTTTAACAATGGACCACCTTCTAAACTTGCCTGCCCCATTTGCAGTGAAATGATATCAAGATATGATTTAAACTGGCATCTTGATGAGATGTGTACTAAAAAGGATGATGTCATGCAGATTGATCCAGTTCCTGTTGACTTAACTGACTCAGATAGGTCCACAGTGGATTTAGCCAGTATTGCATTAGAAGATGTAATTTCAATGAAGTCATCACTAAAGAGAAGTTTAAGCCCTGGCCAAAGTGATTCAGCAAAAAAGATAAAACAACAGACCAGTTCCTACTTTAAAAGTAATGATGGTTTTATGTGCGGAAATCAATATGAGCCGAGGAACCCTAATGTAAAAGTCATTCCTTTGGAAACGCTATCGTCCAGATTATCTAGAAAATACACAAAGGCAGTAGATAAAAACGATGAGTTTGGGAGTCATAGAGCTACAAATCTGCAGAGTTCTTTACCCACAGTGGTTAAGAGCTTGGTTGACAATTCTTCAGAGATTGAGAACAAGGAACAAATTTTGGAGACCTCTTTTCACAAGGAAAATGTTTTTCGGTGTGCTTCTCTTCAAGAAAAGAGTGCCCCTGAGTATGTTGTAGGAGACACTGAAATAACGGAAGCTGACAGCCAGAAGGATACTCAAGAATGTGGGGACACAGCCCTCACTCCTGGCTTCTCAGATAACGCTCTTATGTTAATGTCACCAGAATTAATTCTTGGAAATAAATTCAAGTCTACTTCACAAGACAGTCTGAAAAAGCAGAAGAGTCTCAGAGGAGCAGATGGTAAAGGTGGTAACAAATATGAGGTAAGTAATTGTAAAGAAGTAAAAATGACTGTTGCTACAGAAACTAAACCGCAGTTATATTTGGAAGCAAAATCGCATAGTGCTACAAGTAATGCTTTAAAGGGGAACAACGTCCAAGCACTTCCTCTGGAAGGCGACAGTGTTCTACAGAATGAAATCATTAGCAGCATTCCTTTGGAGAAGAGGTCAAGCTGTGAAGTTCCTGATAGAACAGCGGAAGTACCACCAAGTCATCCTTACTACCTTAAAAATTTCCTTATGGTGCTGAAAGAAGTATTTGAGAATGAAGATGATATGATGCTCTTTGATGAACATGAAAAGGAAATTGTAACTAAATTTTATAATTTATCAGGTATGAGTTTTTCTCATTTACTATCCTGATTTGTGTAGTAATATGGGCAGAATGAAATCATAAGTAGCATTCATTTGGAGGAGAGGTCAAACTGGGGTCACTGTGGTTTTGTGAGTACACTATAGTTAGGAGGGACAATCTATGGCAAGGTTTATATCTATTTGTAAGGATGTTTGTCAACTAGTTAAGCTTTGGGGTGGTGGTTACTCATTCAGTACTATGCCTGACAAGCAGTTATTTGGTGTGTTAGTCTGGGTTGGTTAGAGAAACAAATCCAGACACTCATGTTTTTAATAGAGGACTTTATATCAAAGAGTAATTATATATTAAGAAAACATCCCAGCCCAGTCCAGATCAAGTCCATAAGTCTGATATTAGACCATATGTCTGATACTAATCTATAAATTCTTCAGACTCATGTAACAGATGCAACACATGCAATGACGCTGAGTACAGGAAGATCACAGGTCAATGGGTGGAAAGTCTTGTGGGTCCAGTGGCAGTGGAAGCATCTTAGCACTGGCTTGAGTCTCCATGTGGCTCCTCTAGCTTCAAGGCTCTGGCTGCCAACAGCATAAGGAATGTCTTGCAGGAAGAGAGTGTATCTCACCTCCAGTGAGCTAGTTATAGTCTTTGTGCCTCTGGTTGAGGTCCTCAAGCACCCGATTGACAGGCTAAACTCCAGCCCTTCACTCTTAATAGTCTCAAGTTGGCACCAGATTGTGTAACTACCACATTTAGTTACAAAAGAAACTGGTTTTTAATTTATATATATATTTGATAGATGTAAAATAACCTATTCCAAATTAAGAAAAGTAAAGTGAAAAACATTAGAAAAGCATTCTTTGTATTTGTGCATGTGATCAGACTAATGATACAGTTTTGTCATTTTCCTCCACCATTTCCTCAAAAATTTTAACATTACAGAAAAACACAAATCAATGTGTGGAGGTATACTTTTTTATGTTCATTTTTTAATCTTAACAGCTTTTTAGTTTTCTGGACTCTACCTTTTAAAAGCAGATTTCCTCACCCTTCATCCTGCCAAAAAGCCAAAACAACAAAACCTAAACTCACTGCCAGCTCTTCGATTCTGACTCCTAGTGACCCCATAGGACAGAGCAGAACTGCCCTGTTGGTTTGAGAGACTACGGGAGCAGATAGTGGAGAGACTGAGGTCAAAGTGCTGACCTCGCATAACCCAGTACACCACCAGGGTACCATTTAAAAAGGCAGAATGTTGAAACAGAGACTTCCAAAGAGTGTCTTTGTTTTTTGGCAGCCATTGGTGGTTCCAAGCCAGTAGTGCAGGTGTGTAGCAAAAGCTGCCTACCCCATAGCCCATGAAGACTGTTGGGGAAACCAAACTCCTTTAGAGGTAGGAAAACTTTTTGGAAGCCACACTCTCCTCTAGTCTGGTAACTCAGTAGATGACTACTAATGTTTCAAAAAAGTTTTTGTTCTAGACTACCAATAGAATGTTTACAGCATTTATTATTATTTGCTTTAAGTGTGAAAAACACATCTCTGGGCATAGTATTGTAAGGTATTCACATTGCTTCCATGTCTATTTGTGTGGTTCTTACCAGAGGAGCCACAGATCTGAGTTGGGTACTGATCGTATTACTGTGAGTGAATGAAGGGTGGGTGTCTCGGGGTTTCAGTATCATTGAGAAATAGGATTAGTTTTTCTATCACAGGTTTCACGTACTGTTATCTACTGTTCTCCACAAGAGAAAGATGAAAGTGTCTGTTCCAGTAAGACTGTGTCTTGGGAACTCTGTCTTATAGGGTTGTGATAAGTTAGAAAGTTTTATATTGGAGGGTTTTTTTTTTTCTCCAAGGAGAATTATTTATGATGTAATTTGTATATAAAAACAAGTATTTGCTTCTGTCCATTTAAAGGAAAATATTGAAAATTTAAAACATAATTATGCCATTTTGGAGTTGTAAGGAATTTAAGGGTAATCCAGTATCAGGAAAATAGACCAGAGAGGGAGATATAGAAGTTTGATTAAGTTTAGCAAGCTTGATAATTCTTTTCAGATTTCTCCCATTGTGAACCAATAATAGAATATCGCATCTTAAACTAAAAGCAGAGAGCAAAATAACTAAAATTCTGGGGAGGACTTCTTTGAAGGAGGAGAAATTTTGGTGGCAAGAAGCAGGAAACTTGATTTTTAGAAGTTCTGCAATGAGCAATAGCCATTACCAACAGTTGAACTTATAGAAATGGCTTTGACATAAGGAATATTTTTTTTGACTTGAACTTTCAACTATTTTTGGGATAATGGTGTTATTTCATGCCGTCCCCACCCCCCCGCCATGTGCACGCTTTCTCTCACTTTTTTTAACAGAGGAGACTCCATAAAGCATAAGGGTCAATGACTTCTTTAGAGCTTAGAAGCAGTAATTCTGGCCTAGATTCTGCATGCCCATTCAATTTGTGGTGATGGAGTAAAAAATAAATTTCATTTTCCAAAGGAGGAAAAGATTTGTTGGAAGAGATCAGTAAGGAGACATGTATTTCTTTTTTTTTTTAACCTGTACTTCTAGTAAAGAATATTTTACACTACTCAATTTTAAAAAGTGTTATTTATTGTTTGTGAGGAAAGTTAATACTTTTTCCTGGTTTCTTTATTACAGCTAGTGGTCAGAAGTTATATGTACGACTTTTTCAACGTAAATTAAACTGGATTAAAGTGAACAAACTGGAATATGAAGAAATTGACCTAAATTTACTACCTGTAATTAAAGAATTGAAGGATGAAGGCTTTATACAGACAGGTATGAGTAATAAAAGGAAACCTAAAATGTTAATATTATCGGAAGAATTTCTGCAGAAAAATGGTAAAGTTAGCATGGTACCATCTTCTGGTGTTTGCATGGTGAATACTTTATTGATTTTTTAAAAACAAAGAGTTTTTAGGACAACAAATTCATGTGATGCTAAGCATATTCTCAGCCTGGGATTGAATGGAATAATGAAAAATGAACTAGAATAGAATAATGAAAAATTCTCTGCTATTATTTTCTTGACAGTCACAGAATTAGGGTGATAAATCTGTCTAGAAATATACACGTACCACAAAAGAAAGTTAATACCTTTCACAACTTTTCTTGACTTTATTGCAACTGGAGGTCAAAAAATCATCTGTAAGCCTTTTAAAATAAGTCATCCTTCCTTGGTCTCTCTCCCAGCAAGAACATTTCAGAGTTCTCTGTGATAGGATAAAGCTGGTTTACTTGAAACAAATCTTGCCTCTGAAAGTTTTATTTACTCCTATGTGTACACATGTATGGATCTTATAGTTTATGAGTTGATTTCTTTAAGAACAGTTTGCTGTATTTTTACATAAATAGTACAAATATTGTTTTTAGCAAACCTTACAACTCCCTTGCACATACATCAGCTTCCTATGACTACTGTGTGTGCTGTATGTTTTGCTCATTTACATAGCTACATTAAATGTGAAAAACAGTAATTGATTTAAGCGTATGCTTCCACTAAAGGAGAGTTTATCTTATTCTCTAAAGAATCTTGATTATCTTGTCAGTAGCGTTCATTAAGTGCAATATTGGACTGAAAATTTGTTAGGTGTAAGGAGAAGGAAAAATGTGAGCTTTGGGTTCAAGGTGCTGACATTTTAGATAGCAGGCCAAGCCAGATGTGTGTGTGTTGAACACTGTGGTTTAGGAATAGTAAGTGAAGATGAAGTCAGGGTGATTGTGATGGGGCTGCATAGGTTGGAGGTTGAGGGAGAGACATGGAGACTTGTTGAAGACTCTTGGACGTGATGGCTTAGGCAGGTGCTGCAGTCACTGTTTTACTGACCTCATTTCTCCTGCTCCTTTAGCTCACTTAGTTGCAGCCACAGGTCCCTTAGCTGCTTTTGCATATTGAGCATATTGTGTTTCAGAAGTTTTGTGCTTACTGTCCCCCCCACCTAGGACACTCTCCCACATGGATAATGCATGGTGACACTCTCCCATCTGTGTCACCACGTCAGAGTTGTCTGACTCCCTATATGACAGAGCTAACTTCCCTGCCATGTTTAATTTTCCTTCTCCAGTTTTGTTTATAGCAGTGATCATCACCAGAGATAGTTATTTATTATGCTAGAATATAGGCTTCGTATAGGCAAGGTCTTTATTTTATTAAGTATACCATGCCCAGGACCTTTGAACATTTTCTGGCACAGAGTAAACACAATAAATATTTGTGGAATGAAGGAAGATGTTTCCTTAAATTGAATACCTTGAAGGCAAAGATAAGTCAGAGCTGATTCACCTCTGACTTGAGTCCTAGCATAGTGTTATAGTCATTTGTATTGAATGAATGAATGAATGAATGAACAAACCTGTCAAGAGGTTTGGAGGGGAAGGATTCTTGAAGGATGAGCCTACAGGAGAGAGTAAAGCTTAGAGTCAACATATTCTGGAGAAGTGGCATTGGTTGATTTGTAATTAGAAAGTAACCAGTTGCTGTCTAGTTGGCCTCAATTCTTGGTGGCCCCATGTGTGTCTGAGTAGGACTATTCATAGTGACTTCACTGGCCAATTTGTTTGCAGGTGGCTCACCAGGTCTCTTTTCCTAGGGACATCTGAGTAGATTTGCACCTCCAACCTTTTAGTTAGAGGCCAGGGGAGTGTCAATCACTTTTCAGCACAGTGATTTCAGTATATATTCCAGTAAGTTTTAAAAGAGGGTGCCCTAAAGTGGCTATCATATCATAGCCCCATAATAGTTACTAATATCGTCTTCACTTAATTCACTGTTTTTTCCTCTTGATTTTAGTGAGAAACTTATTTTATGACTCTCAAGAGATACTTATTTTATATGCTCTTGTAACTAATTGATTTGAAAAGTGTGAGAATGAGGGCCATGCTTGAATATCCTTTGACTTCACAGGGGGGAAGGAGAACCAAACTGATCATCAGCCCATGACTGATTCCTAGGAGGCATAGTTCACACATGCCTCCATCTTACCAATTCTGCCTTTCTTATCCGTTCTGACCTCAGCCATCCTTCCCAAGGCATTCTCACCTTCTCACCAGGTTTGTTAATTCATTGCAGTGGCTACACAGGATTCACGATTTTGGAAAGTTAACAGATAATAAATTCAGGATCAAATGCTCAGAAGTGCCTCTTTCCAGCTGTGCACATAGGCATACCTCTTTCCTGTCCTTAACCCATTAGCCATTCAGCCCCTTGGACTCTGCTCTGCTTAGGCAATGTTACAAACCTATTTTAATGCTGCCAATAAATGCCCAAAGATCACTCCACATAAGCCTCATCCCTCAAAGGCCTTAGCTCTGTCAGCAAACCTAGCTCAGCTAATTATGTGACTGGGGCAACCTACTCCAAGAAAATCTGCCTGAAGGCACTTAGCGTTCTCATTCTATGAACCAGGAAGCCCACTGCTCTGCCTCAAACCTATGGTGTTGCAGGTGCCTCTGTTATTGCTGCTTTTCTGGTGTCCAGGATTGAGGCAGTTCAACATAGTGGGTCTCAAGCAGTAGTGAACTCAGCGGGTTCATACCAGTTACATAGAACCGATATCTAATTGTTGAGTTCAGAAAACCAGTTGTTAAATGGTATTTGAAATCAGGATTCCCTCTAAGGTGGATAGCTGGGCAGCTGCCCAATGCTAAAATCACAAATTTACATTTAACATTCATCTGTGCGACAGTGTATTCCAAGCACCTGTAATACTGTTCATTTTGTCCATAGGTATAAAAAATTAGATGGAACTACAGTATATAATATTTATTCAATTCATGAAACTCGTTATACTTTTGATGGAATATTACATTTTTATTCTTCGTGTTTGTTACTTTAGTAAACAAATATATAACATAAAGAGAAATAGTGCCAAACAACCAGAGGGTGACATGTGGCCATTAATTTCAGCTTTGTGGTATGCCCCAAACACCCACGAAATATAAGTGAATTATGTAATTCCTGAAAGTTTTCAAAGAGCAAAGAATACTTTCAGAATGATTGCCGTAAGTTCAGCAAAAGTAGAAAGGGGATTTTCAAAGATGAACTTAATATGTTCAGAGAAGATAAGTCGCCTGTTTCTAATTTATCAAACACACAACTGTTGTCTAATTGGCCTGCCTTAAAGGAATGGGATCCCACTCCTACAGTGAAAAGATGGTTAAGGATAAATGACAGGGCCAATTATGCTCGAACAGAAGCAAAGAGCATCATAAATTAGGATGCTAATCAAGAAGCAATATGGAAATATCTTAAATAACAGTTGTATTTTTTTGTCTTGTATTATTTAGTATTTTTTCATTATATTTTAAAACTTAGAACAGTCTAGTCTTGCCTACCTTTTTTATACTTAGAACGATCATTAGGGCCACAAACTGGTAAATTTTTTCAATTTGAACACTGATTTCAGGGTTCAAAGGACGTGCTCTGCATCTGGTCCTTCTTTCTTGATGGCAGTGAGATCCCCAATGCAGTTTCTGAGATGATTCATTTTAAACCTAGTGGGGAGGTTAAAATTGATCATTCAGCTTATTTGCATGGCTCCACCCAGTGGAGTTACAAATA